TTTCAGGCAGCTGCCCCCTGGACCACGGGCATTGATTCTGCTGCAGTGCCTCACAGACCTCAGGGCTATGTCCTTCCCTGGGCTTCTACCAAAAATCCAGGCTCCTGAGCATGTGATGAAAATGACCCCAGGAGGGGTCAGTCCTCTGCTCCCAGACATCCTGGCTCTTTTCTCCTACTTCCTGTTCTCCCTTGGGACATTTCGACTTCCTCTTTCCTCCGCTGAAGCATCTGCTTTCTGTCTCATATGTCCAGATCCCTCTCAGCTTGAAAAAAACAAAGGGCCTTCTGTTAGCAAAATACTAGTTTACGCTGTCAAAGGGTATTGGTTCAACTGCTGGTTTTCTTCCTTCTGGTCATCATTGAAATAGGGAAGATTCTCTCTGTGGAACTCAATGTGTGCCCAAAGCCACAGCCCTTTAGGAATCCACAGTATCCTCTGGGTTCCCTCCAGGCTCCAGAGCAGTGTCTCCATCAAGTAGATGGCCCTGAGCAGGTTGTGAGGACTCAGAGAACACAGCCAAGTCTTCACCTCCTGGAGAGTGAGAATAGGCAGCTGGGGAAGGATGCAGGCGAGTGTGCAGTTAGCCTGCTATTTAGTAGTTAGTGCATCGTGACAGCCATGGGGGTACCTGCTAATTAAAGTTAGTCAGGGGTGGCGGGAATTCTGCAATTCCTTTAGTAAAAGACCTAATCTTCCTCTTCTTTCACTTTCTTGTAAGGCCAAATCAAGGATGGCTTCAAATTTAGCATAGCTCATGCATTTTCAACATTGCTCAAAATGTATTACATGCTGGTACTCAATGTATCCTCATTCGTCACTGATCATGACATATTCAGAGAAATGTGGTGTTAAGTGGTTTTTGTCTCTGTGCAACCATCACCCAGTGCACTCGCACAAAGTGAGGTGGCTCAGCATCACAAGTGATGCAATCGTGGGGAACCCCCTTTGTACACATGGCTTACCATTGACTCAATGTCACTATGTGGTACATGACTATACCACATAACGTTTGCTAGCATACGAGTTGTGCATATACAAACTGCACAACTGAGCAAAATTTGTATGAAACAAACTCAGTCTTACCATCAAATATATTTTTAGGTCTTTAGTAATCTCCTTATGGTTTTTTGTTTGTTTGTTTTTTGAGACAGGGTCTCACTATGTAGTCCATGCTAACTTTGAACTCATTATGTAGCCCAGCCTGGCCTCGAACTTGTAGTGACCCTCCTACCTCAGCCTCCCAAGTGACGGACTGCAGGTATGTGCCACCACTCCCACCATCTCCATTTACTTTTAACTCTAGGCACAACCTGATGCTTGACACCACATCAAATTCAAACTGCTGAAGCATCCTCCAAATTGTTCACAAGGATATCACACTTGGATTTATATCTGTACAGGAAATGCCTAAGTATAAAAACAAAAACAAAACCTTTACATATGTGGCTTAAATGAATCCCGAAATTTCTGTGAATGAACATGTATTACATGTCCCTCACCCATCTTTCCTGCCAGGTCACTTACTGTCTGGGGAACAGGGACAAGATGTACCTGAGGCTGAGGAGAGCCCCTTCTCTCCCAGGGCAACAGCAGATTTAGGTCTGCTTTCCTGACCCACAGCCAAAGGACCAATAGGAAGCTGGATGTGGTGGTCCATGTCTATAATCCTGGCACTTGGAGGCTGAGGCAGGAGGATCACCATGAGTTCAAGGTCAGTCTGTACTACATAGCAAGACCCTGTCTCAAAAAAGCCAAAAAAAAATTTTTTAAAAGACTGTTGGGAAGAAAAAGAGGCACAGAGGACAAGGGGATTTCTGGAGATGATCCATCAGTGGAACCCTAACTGTTCTCAGGGAGAGACTGCTCCTGCCTACAGATGTGTGTGGTCCTTGGGGCTTGCCCACCCAGAAAATCTGGACCAGAGCAGAACTGCCCTTGTGGGTTAGTGACCAGGCACCATTATGCACCTTTGGGACACAGAGAGGAGCAGGGGTGATCGCCAGGCCCCCACACCACAGGCTCAAGAGCAAAGCCTCTCCCAGCACTGACAGGCTTGGCCCTGCTCTACAAATAGCAACCGCCTAGTCTCCAAGGGAAACAGGGGAAGCCATGAAAAAGCAAAGCAAAGCCCTACCTGATCAGGAGAACTAAGTAATCTGAAGGAGGAAGTGTAGGTGAACTAACAGGAAAGAGAAGAGGAATTCAAAGCAGCAGGGGCATTCATGGGAGTGCTGAAGACGCCGTAAGAGAACACACACGAAAACATCTTTCCAAACTAAAAAGCATGGCTTCCAGGATGGCTTTCAGTTAATGCTGAGAATTCAGGCTGTGGTCTAATAAGAAAGATAATCTCACAATAATACAGAGCAAAAGCACAAAGAGGTGAAAATCAGAAGGGAAAGGTAAGAAATGTTGATGTCAAATCCAAGTTAAAGAAATATAATTAATGCTGTCAACTCCTTTACCACTGTCTTCTCCCATCTCTGACTACATGATAAAGTCTATAAGAAGAAATATTCTTATTACCAGCTCCCCTTGGTGAATGACACAATCCTAGCCAATGAGACAGAAGCTTCCAAAAAGATTATTGATTTTTCTGGTATTAAATGCTCATACAACTGCAGCACATTTTCCTCCTTTGTTCCTAAGTTAAATGCAGACATGATTCCTGGAGCTCTAGCAGCCATCCTGTGACCACAAAGGACAAACCAAGAAATAAAAAAAAGATGTCAGTTGAACCAAAGGCAACAAATGCCTATCTGGGCATCTTGTTAAGTAAAGAAAATAAGCATATGTTCAAGTCATTCTTTACTCAAATTTTCTGTCACTTGTACCTGAAAGTGTTCCTAACTGAATGAAAAGTATTAATTATAGAAATGATAAAAGAAAATTTCTGTATGGTAAAGAAAAGCTTGTGTTTTCTTTACCATTGAAAGAACTCACTTAATACCAGGCATATTTAAAGAAAATATACTTTCTTACACCAATAGTAGGAATCAGTAAATTCTTGAATTCTCAAGATGAAGGAGATAAGAGAGAAACCTACAATCTTCCCGCAGAAAGAACAGGTTCCTTAAAAAAGAAGCACCAGATAAGCATTCGATTTTTCATTTTTAACTTTCGACCCTTGAAGACAGGAAATAACATCGATGGTAATTGAGAAGAAATACTGATGATTTAAGAATCTTCATTTTGCTAAAATTCCATTCACTTGAAGGACCAAAAAATATACTATATTTTGGGCATGGAAGATCTCAGAGTGAATACTATGCATGTACCTGTTATACCTAAATAGAGCACCTTAGAAAATACTCTCATCACAAAGCAAATTAAAACAGAGCAGAATCAGCTGAGTGCGGTAGTGCACGTCTGTAAATTCTTCTGATTAGGGCTGGGGGTTTAGCTCAGCGGCATAAGTGCCTGCCTTGCAAGCAGGCAGTCGTGAGTTCGATCCCCAGTACCGATAAAAAGGAAAAAGACAAAAAAAAAAATTCTTCTGATTAACTTCTGATTAGGGTGACATCATTGATTACAAGATGATCCCAGCACTCGGAGGACTAAGGCAAGAGAATCACTGTGATTTTGAGGCCAGCCTAGGCTAAACAATGAGTTCAAGATCAGTCTGAACTGCATAGCAAAACTCTGTCTCAAAAAGACAAAAAATAAATAAATCAGAGCAGGATGTTAATATGCAGGAAGGCAAAGAGAAAACAGTACCACTGATAAATTTAAATCTAAATTGATGCTGTCTTACAATCCAGGAATTCCTCTTCTGGGCATATACCCAAAAGAATGAAGTCATCTTCTCATAAAGACAGTCCCACTCCCACGTTCATTACAGCAGTATCCACAATAGGCAAGACAGGAAAACAATCTGTATGTTTGTCAAAAGATAGACACATAAAGAAACTGTGGTAGATATACACTAGGAATATTGTTCAGCCCTAAAAAATGAGATCAGTAACACAGATAAGGCTGCTTGGCTACGCTAAATACTGTAACCCAGACACAGAAAGAAAAACACCACAGGAGCTCACTCTTGAAATATGTATGGGCTCTTAAAACGCAAGTATACAGGGGGCTGGGGATTTAGCTCAGCGGCATAAGTGCCTGCCTTCTTGCAAGCAGGCAGTCGTGAATTCGATCCCTGGTACCGATAAAAATGAAAAAAAGACAAAAAAAATTCAAATATACAGAGATGGAGAACAAGACAGTGACAGGGAAGAGAACATGAGGAGATGTTGGTCAGAGGATACAAAGTAGTAGGTACACAGAATGAACAAGACCAGAGATCTGAAGTACGACATGGGACCACAGGTAATAAAAAGGTATCCTGGTGGAAGGGGAAAACTACGAAAGAAATTGTTCGTAAAACTTTAGTATTGCTCTCACCATCTTGTTTTGATTGATTTTACTCTAGTCTGTTTTGTTTGATAGTATCAAGTTTGAGGGTATAGGCAACTACTTTGAAGACATTAAGATTCACTATGATGCCCATTCTGGTTTGACCTTCTTTTGAAGTCCTGTAATGTCTCCAATGTTTTGGTTTTATAGTTTTGTTCTGTACTGTTTTGTTCAATTTTATTATACCTGATGATATAGGCGATTCTTTTTAAGATAGCAAGAGGCATTATCACCATTGTTGATCACCTTGTATTCTGTTTTTACACCATATACTATATCCATCCTTTTGTTTTGACTGACTCTGTTTTTTTTTTTCTCTCTCTCTTTAAATAAAATTTTTCAAAAAAACTTTGTTCTAGGGGGCTGGAGATTTAGCTCAGTGGCATAAGCGCCTGCCTTGCAAGCGCGTGGTTGTGAGTTCCATCCCCGGTACCGATAAAAAAAAAAACTGTTCTTTTGAAACTTCCCGGCTCTGTAACTGTTTCATGGCTTTGTAATTAATTAATTGACCCTTGTAACCACAAGAGCATAATGGGGCATGCAGGATGCCTGATTGTACCTTTGTATCAAGTTCCATAAACTGATGATCATTAATGACTCTTGTAACCAATGATCTCACCCTAATCAGAAGAACTTCCAGGCTGTTCTGTCTCACCTTTGTACCTCCTGCTTGTGTATCATACAAAAGTCCTAGACCAGCAGAGATCAGGGGCTGACATTCTGGAAATGATCCCGATCAGTGCCCGACAGTGTAAATAAATCTTCCTCCAGATCCTGGAAGTCGTTTTGGTGTTTCTGCTTGCTGTTGCAATGCTAAAGGAGATTTTACCAGATTTGACCCTCTCCTGCCAAAAAAAGGTAACTGAGAATATTGATTAATCCAGCAAGCCTGTATGGCAGTAGATAATCTCAGCAAGACTGCACTGACGTTCAGGCTGGTTTCTAGCAGTGGGGTTGGAACCCAGCTTGAACAGCCTGGAACATTTCATGTGCCTCCTGAACCTGGCAGTCTCACCCTGACACCAGGAGCTGCTAGATGGAGCCAGTCTGCATCTGTTTTGAGTTCTGAGCTTAGTTCGCCCCTCTTCAAGATGGTTCCTGGTCTCCTGGGGGATATCTGAACCTGAAAAACTAGCCACTGCAATCTGCCGAGGCCACTGCTCCATTCCACTGGTGTGTTTCTCCGTGGAGGCCTCTGTAGTCACCAACAGTCACTGTGTGTCTGAAGATTCAAGCCATCTCTCCCACAAGGTAAGTCCTGGCTCAGGGAGAAACCAGCACCTGCTGTCTCCTCCTCTGTTGAAGTCTGTCTCTTCACTCTCCCTGTGGGCTTTCCTTTCCAATCCTTCCCGGGTCCAGGGCACCCATTTCCCTCCTTCTTCTCTTTCTCATGTTGCTACTATATTCTGGTGTCTGGGCACCAAACCTCAGAGAAGCTCTTTCTCTGCTGCTCACCATTCTGCCATCTTTTCAGAAGTCAAGGGTCTCATAATGTTGTTCTTGAACTCACAAAGTAGCCACAGACTCGCAGCAGCCCTCCTGAGGCAGAAGAGTGCCCCAAGTCCAAGGCCAGCCTGGGCTACTAGTGAGTTGGGGACTAACCTGTCTCAGAAACACAAAACAGAAGAAGAAAAGAAAGCTCATAGCAAAGCTCATAGAATTTGACAAAAAGCAAAAGAAAAAGGAGAAAAGAAAGAAGGAAGGAGGAGAGGACTACATCACACAAAATAGAAGTGAAAATATAATGGAATAAAACATTTCAGTTACAAATCCAATATCAGTAGTTTTATGCTGTTCTCAGAAAACAGAGTATCAGGTGCATTGTCATATATATATTACATATATATTATATATATATATTCCTCTTTCTTGAGTAAAGAAGCATCATCTTGGGTGTCTTATAAAATATAAAACACAGTTAATGTATGTAAGCTACAGAACTTCCTTTTCAAGTTATTTTTATTAAACTATAAAAAATGGGAGAAGCGAGGTCAGCCCCAGGTTGAACACTCCTAAAGCTATGTGTTGTTTTATTTTTATTTTTTAAACTATGTGTTTTTAATGTGAAATATACCAAAGATAGAGTGTAAGAAAAGCTGAAAGTAAAAAAAATGGAAGAGAGATATTGGGCAAATACAAACAAAAAGAAATTGAAACTATATTAGTATCAAGAAACACATAGGACCAAAAGCATGAGATAGGACAAATATATTGTATTTCTTAAAAACCCACAGAAAAGCTTCAAATCTTTGTATACCAGATAATATGGCAGCCAAATATGTAAGATAAAATTTCCAAGACATACTGATAGGCTAATTAAAATATATAGTTTGAGATTTTAATATCTTATTTCAAACCTTGATGGAAAAGTAAGCAATCATATATAGAAAACTGAGCAATAGAAGCATAAAGCTCAGTATAATAAATGTATTTAGAATTTTTAACACCACAAATATCTATATGTCCTTTTCTTATGTCCATAAAAAGATTGCCAAAATTGTCATGTATTTGGTCATAGTAGAAACTTTAATAAATTCTGAAAAGTGGAGATGTCACAAATAGGATAGGCTGGTCATAAACTAATACAATTGGCAATCAACAAGAAAAACTTAGACCTCAAACTTCCTCAGTTATTTGAAAATTATGAAACATTCTTTTAAAATAATTTCCACAGCAACAAAAAAATTGCGATTAGAATAACAAGGTTTTATAGAAAGGAATAAAGTAAAGAATATAGCTAAAATGTATGAGCTATATTCAAAGAAAATGCATAGCTGCACTCAAAGGAAAAATAATGGCCTTAATTTTTTTATTTATGATAGAAGACTAAAAATGTATGATTTCATTCAATTGTAAAAACTAGTAAGAAGATCAATCAATGTACTCCTCATCCAAGAACGATAAGAGATAATAACTTAAGCTCACAAATCAGAACTTACTAGTATATTCTTAGACACATGAGCATATAAATTCCAGGAAAAATTGGCTAAAAGAATTGAAATAGTTGCCTCTGTGGGGACAGGAATTAAGATTAAGGAAATATTATAGGGAACCACTTTTTAACATTAGTAGTCTTATGGCATTATCTGACTTCTTAAACTATATAATATTAACGTTTTTGGTTTCTTTCTTCTTTCTCTTTCTTTTCTTTTCCAGTACTGGGAATTGAATCCAGGACAAGCACTCTATCACTGAGCTATAGCACCACTGCTTTTTAAATTTTGAGGCTCTCTGGCCTCAAACTTGTGATCCTCCTGTTTTAGCCTCCTGAGTGGGAGCCACTGTCCCAAGCGAAGTTTAAAATCTTTTTAAAGAATGAAGAGAATGTGCCTATGAACTCTTGATCCATCTTGATACAGAGGCTAAAATATGACTTGCCAGGTGAGCCTGAGTGTTCAAATTTTCCCTCAACTCCTCAGTAACAGGGTTTCTTGCAATTCATTTCTTATCCGTGTCTGGGTTTCTTCTTTTGTAAAATGACTTAAACAGCCACCAGAAGGAATCAGACTCCAGGCTCTGACACAGCTCGGGTGCCAGCTGCATACCCCCGGCCCTCACAGGAGGGCACCCCCATCTCCCAGCCCCCACTGCACCTCTGCTACCTGCACATTATCTCAAGCATCTTTTCTGCTTGGAGCTCTCACTGCCTGGTTAAATTTTATTTCGCTTTTATTTTTCCATACACCATAAGCAGTTAGGGTATTTTTCCATAGACTTGAGGTTCCTGCACTTATGTGAGTCATGGCTTGGGAATTTTAAGTAGAAAACAGAACAAAATGGCTTTGAGAGTATTAAAAACAGGTGCTTTTGTATCTAGATCCATCTGTGAAGAGAAAGCATATCTCTGATACATTAAATCCTTTGAACAGATGAACTCCAGAAATAAAAACCTGGAGGACAAATATCAATGTCAATATTATTAGGAATAAGAAAATGTCCCTCCAGGTTTGTAAAATTTGCCTGGTTCCGGTTTTCGCACACGGATGTAAAGGAAGGAGGCAGACCAGGCAAAATGCAGTAACAGTGAGTTGAGCTGGCCGGCTCCAAGGGCTCCGGGAAAGGCAGGGGTTGGGGAGAGTCGCCAGAGGAAAGGGCATGGAACAGGGTCTGGGATCAGGCGCAGAGCGGTGCCTAAATTTAGCTGCAAACGTAGCCATCTGGGAATACTAAAAAGTCCCAGTTCCCAGACTCAGTGAGTCCGAAGTGCTGCACGGCGTCTGGAGCTGCCAAGTCTCCAGGTGGCTCCTCGGCGAAGCTCAGACACCACTGGGGCCCTGGGAAATGCAGTGGGCATGGTGGCCAGCCTATGCCCAGGGTGCAGCAGCGAGTGCGAGAGCCAAGTCGCCCCAGCGTCGCCCTGCAGCAGAGCGTGGGATAACAGCACAGCGTGGGCACTTTGCAATAACTACTGTAAGTGGGTGCGGGGTGGCAGTTAACATTCGCCTGTGAATGGGACAGAAGTGGGTGAGGGTGCGCAGAGGGAGGGAGAAGGTGATGGTGACGATGCCCCGGCTGTAGGCAGGTGTGGGACGTGTTCAGAGATTCCAGGCACAGCAGAATGCGGGATGAAGGATCGGAGGTGACGTGTGCTTCACCCGAAGCAGCGTGGCCTATGAAGGGTAGCCTCCATCGTCATCCCCAGCTGAGAGGCCCGGTGAGCCCGGCAGACACAGGGATCCAAGCTGCGAGGCCGCCCTCTAGTGTCGGCCTGCGTACTCCGGGCACTGGGGCCCAGTGCTCTCTGGGGGACTTTGCGTCTTCGCGGATGACCACAACCAAGGGCACTTCTCTGACGTCCACAAAGAACACACAAGAGCAGCTCTAGGCTCTCCAGAAGGGCCTGCAAGTGCCAGCAAGAAGCAGAGAGCAAGTGGCTTGGGAGGCTTCCAGGAGGAAGTGGGACTCCACTGGGGCCAAAGGGGATCCTGAATTAATAAATTAGCGTGTGTGGCAAGACCTCCCACCCTTGGGGTAGCCAAGAGACCCTGCACAGTGGGAAGAGGACAAAGTGTATGCAAGTCACAGTCAAAGCTTTGGCTGCTGGTTCCCCCCACTGTGTGACCTTGTGTTTAACTTCCCTGAGTTTGTGTATATCTATCTGTGAAATGAAGCTATGGTAAAGAAGAACAGTGCATCAGTCTTTGGCCCTATGTGCCACAGACTAAGCACTTTGCACCGTGAACTAATTTAACCCTCACAGCACTCTCATGTGGTAAACAAATGGTTCCATCTTACAAATAAGGAAAAGGAAGCACAGAGAGGTTATGTGACTTTGCAGTCACCAGGCACATGGTTGACATTCAGTAAATAGTGGCTGCTGCTGCGACCACAGAGATGGCAGAGATTGTGCTGAAGGAGGTGAGCTCATGGGCAGAGTCAGGGAGGAAATTTCAAGAGATGGAAAGTGACATTCTCCAGGGCACATCAAGCATGACTCAGGACCATTTGTTTGTGACTACACACCATTGTCCCTGGAACTTACCAAATGGGATCATAGGAGCAAAGGCTCTTAAAAGTGCTTTCTTCTCACCAGCCTCACTGACAAAACCCAGTTGGATCCTGAAGAAGGATCAAGTCTCTTTCCCAGCTTCCCTTGAAGCTAGGTGTGGTCATGTGACCTCCATCTGCCCAATGAGATGTGAGGAACGTGTCCTAGGAGGACCCTGGGGAAGGTTTCCTCCCTAACAGAGGAAGGCATGGAAATAGTCTTTTCCTTCCTGGATGGGAATGTTGTCATGCAAAGATAGGATAACTAGCATTGTCATAGCTATCTTGCAGCCACAAAAGAAAGACCATGAAATACCAAGTTCCCAAAGATTTTTTGATGTTCCACATTCCCCATAGAATCTCCTACTTCCAGAATTCCAGATATGTGACAATAAGCCCCTATTTGTTTTAAAAACATGATTATTGCAGAAAAATACTCTTATTATCACACATGTTGTTTCAGTGTTTTAATTCTTATACCCCAAAATTCATTTATTTAATGAGCAAGTATCACTGAGTACAGACTACATGTCAATTACAGTAGAGCAAGAGGATGGTTAACAAGAAATGTCCGTAATTCAGAGAGGTATAATTCTGGCTTTGGAAATTTCTAGGCTCGGTAAGGGAAAACAAACTTTGAAAAATATGATGGGTCAGGATGTTAGGCGGAAGGAAAGCATGGAAATCCTTATAGAATGTAGAACGGGTAGCTAACCTTGGTAAGCATCTTGGAAGTTCTTGAAGGCTGGTGATTATTTAGGTTTAGATGTTATAATAAAGAGACCCCAAAATACAGGATCTCAAAGCAGAGAGTTTTCATTTTATTGTTTTAATATAACAGCTGTTGTTTCATGTTCTACCAAGGATCTGCCATCCTCAAGATGGCTTTGCTCTGTGGATTCAAGATGGCAGCTCCTGTTCTTACCACTGACCTGCTGAGTGTATGCATCTTCCCACACCTTACTGGGCCAATTTTAGTTATGTGAGCTTGTCTAGCTTGGAAGAGTCTTGGGAATGCAGTTTTTAGCTGGTCACCCAGGGGACAACTGACCTCAGAGAAGTTCTATTTTTTTTTTTTTTTACATTTGGTACATGTGGGGAAAATTTAATGCAAAGTAAAGATGTAATATAAACATAACAGGTAAAATTCTGATGGTTAGAAAAACAAAGGTTTACTAACTGACATATGTTGGCTCCAGTGAGAAAGAAAAGCAGACCACATAATGTACATGGTATGATATCCAGTGATGTTAGGAAATCAGCAGGTATCTCGTTATACAACATGCAAAACATAACATTCTTTAATGTACTAGTTATGTGAAAAGAACACAACTTTGTCAAAAACACATGCTCCAAGCCTCTATAAATGTATATCTTAATGCCTAATATTGCATCAACTTCAGAAACATCATTTATGAAAGAGAAAATGAAGCACGTGCATCAAAAAATTAAAGCAAGTGCAGTGTTAAAATTATAATCACCAAAAAATAAGAGACTAGACCAATATCACTCTGAACAGTGAATAACAGTGTTCTTGATTTTATATCATAATGCTACAGAATTAGCATGGGGTATCTTAGTCTCTCGAGAAGTTCTATTTCTAAGAAGGGGGAAGTGCTTTCCTGAGGACAGCTGGCAGTTACAGTTGGTAAAGGATTGGGAATACTTTCCTCTTAACCCTGAGAGCAGTGAGGAGTCACTGAAAAAGTTGAAATGCTGGGTCACATTTGTGCTTTAAAAAAGTTCACTATGATAGCTGTGTAGGGAGGAGTACAGTGGAGGAAATAATACAGGAGGTGGTGAGGATTCAGCAGACCTTCTGAAAACAGTGGTTGATCTGGGTGGGAACAATCAGAAGGGTCCATTGGTCCAGGTGGGTTTTTTTTTAAATTTGTTTGTTTTCTTGGATTTTTGCTGAGTGAAAGCTTCCTTAAACAAGAACCAGAGTCATCCCTGTTTTTCACTGATCAGGATTTCTTCTGCATCTCCTAGCCCCATGATGTCATTTCAGTAGAGCTAAACCTGTGTAACCTAAATATATTGTGAGAGCCACTACAATTTCCCGTGGTGCCCAGCCTGTAATGAGGTCAGTCTCTACTACTACGACATAAGTAGCAAAAGAGTTTAGAAATGACATTTGTTAGACTACCCTAAGGTTACTTACTGGTCAAGAAGGCTGTATGACCCAAGGCTGGTGCATTCTTGAGGAGGCAGCATTTGAAGGTCCTTGAAGGACCAATAGGGTAACTTCAGATAAAATGTTGCAGAAAAACTACTCAAAGTTCTCCCCATCCAACATATGCTCCCTTTCTTGCCTTGTCTCTAGGGGCAGAAGATGGGATTCTGATTGCTTTAATATGGAAACAAATTTAGTTTTTGCTGCCTTTGTGTTACACACTCAAAGGATGGAATGCAATTTTTTACTTTCTAAGAAGGTCTGAAGATTAAAGGTCTCCATGCCCCTTGAAGAAAGCTGGGTTTGTTTGTTTGTTTTGTCTGGGTCTGGTTCTTATCAGAATACCACCAAAGGAAGGACAATGGGTTGGGAGGAAGGCTGAAATTTTTGTAGGAGCAGGACTTCCTGAGAGGACAAGGAGGAGAGAGGATGTGGTGCCAGGAGAAGCAGGCATTCAGTCCCTTTCCCTGGAAGCAGCGGCCACGTTTGGGGAGGGGCAAGAGTCCTGCAAAAGTGGACATCCAGAATCCATGCCCCAGCTGAACCCCAAACCCCTGAACCCCAAGTGTGTGTCAGGAACAATTGGACTTTTTTTTTTTTGGTACTGGGAATCAAACTCATGACCTCGCACTTGTTAGACACCTATGCCACTGAGCTAAATCCCCAGCCCATAACTGGGCCTTTAGAACCTGCAGAAGCAGGAAGATAAGGGATCTCCTCAAATACCTAAGACCTTGCCACTGTAGGTAGGTAGCCCCAGGAAGAGGGAGTGGAAGCCCAGGAGTGATGAGGTTGGATCTCCCTGCCAGCTTAACAAAGTGAGCACTGAGGCAGGATGCAGCCAGCTTTTAGAGGCCAAGGCCAGAGACCTTTGTTGCACCCCGACCCCGGGTAGCAACTGAGATTGATGCTCAGTGGGGCTGCCCTCCCTTTCCTGCAGGTTCCTGTGCTTCAGCAGGCTACTCTGATCTGTCCCAGGGTCGGGGCTTGTTCCCATGTCCCCTCCTCCACTGCCTCTAGAGCCTACTCTGTGCCAGCCCCCACGTTACTCCTAACACCTCAGGGGCCTCCTCTGCGCCCCTCATGGTGTTACCCACTGGAAAGCGGGACGTGCTGTCTGTGGCACTGGGACTTCGTTTCATATCTTGGTTGGGGGCTTCATGAAAATAGAGATGTGACCCTTTCTCCTAGCCCTGTCTGATCTTCCCAGCACCTGTCAGTGAGTGGCCTGCCACAGTGCCCAGGGGTGGAGCCGCTTGAAAGAGGGGTAACCATTTGGCAACCCCTGTTTCTCACCCCAGCCAGGCCACAGTACTTGGTGCCACCTTGGTCAACACCCTGATTGTGGTGCTAGGGCCCCTCTGCCTGTGGCATCCAGACTGGCTCCGGAAAGACCATTGCTACCCACTCAGAGAGGTGATGTCATGGCGCTTTACCCACCTCCTCCCCTGCAGGCCATAGATGGGCAGATCTGCTGGAGCCTGCTGTTAAGAAAGGCACGCTTCATGTTAAGAGCCTCTGAGCTCTGTGTACATAGGACTGCGGTAGATGTAAACACTCTGGCCTTTCTTCCCCACTAGATAAATCTCAGGCTTTCAGGGCGAGGCACTGCCGGGCACACTCCCGGTGTTTAAAGGAGATGTCAACAGCAGCCTGCGCTCTTGGCAGAGGCTGGCTCTCCATCTCCCAGCTAAAGCCCAAAACCTGAGCCACTGAGGCCCATGCCAAGGGGCACAGAACTCGTCCCTTCCCAGAGAGTCTGTGGTTTGTAGACAAAGAAGGCGGCTGATGAGCATACCCCCAGGAATGCTGGGGGGACTGCCACAGCCTCCTCCATTACCTGTCTAGCTTGCACAGATCCTGTGAGCATCCGAACAACATTCTCTTCACCGCCCTGGCATGGCAGTATCTTAAACTTTACTCATCATTTGTCATTCATTTATTTACCTGTCATTTATTGAGTATGTATTATATGCCTGTGTATCAAGCATTATACGTAGTACCCTGCCCAAAGTTACCTAAGATACCACCATTAGTGCTATTCTTGGTAGTTTAAGACTTGTAAATATAACCACCTCCAAATCTATGTTATCTAGATTTAGACAAATAATATATATTATACACCTACAATTTCTCACCCCTCACCCCTGAGTCATGTTTTGAATGTTATTCATTAGTGTTATTCAATCAACACATAGACATCACATTTTGTCGGTCACTCCGATAGACTCTGGACCCAAGACAGTCTGGGCCCTGAGGAGCCCTTCTTGGGTGACAGGGAATTGACCACAGAGAGGTGGCCTTGGTCAAAGAGGTGAAGGCCAATGGACCAGCAGAAGACAGAGGGACATGGTCAGGGATGGGACGTTTATCTTACTGAGGATGGGACCCTGACAGGCCCTGCCTCTCCAGGGGTGCTCACAACTGTGCTCTAAATGAAAACCATTGCAGGGCTCCAGCTCTTGGAATTTCATGAACCTAACAAGGTATTAAAATCCAATTGAGGGAACCATGCAGGCCACCAAATTTTATCACACTGAATAAGGATTTGAGAGAAAAAGCAAAACCAAGGTGGCATCCACTACCTGCCATCACTATTATTTCATGAAAGAAAAGACATTTTTATGCAAAAACACAGGGAGGGCATGACCTCAGCATAAAAGATGATTCCTTGTTTTGGAGGGCTACCGGGAATCAAACTCAGGACCTCACACTTGCCAGGCAGGTACCACACCACTAACCTAAATTCCTGGCCCCAAAGGGTGATTCTTAAAACCAGATTCAAGGACCTTGTCCTTCTTGTCCTCCCATCACCTGGTCCAGATGAAGTTCATCACTGTCTGGCACTCCTGGTGATCAGATGACCACAGTGCTGTCCACTGCCAATGTCCCACATGACCTACTGCAGGCATGTCAGAGCAGTCGAAGAGGGACCTAACCCACGATGCTTCCCAGAGCCCCCTTTTCCTTCCGCCACGTCCCTTGTACCCTGAATCTGCTCCTACATTTTTCTCCTCTAAACTCAGTAAAAAATTATTCCTTTCTGCTATGGCTTGGATGTGATTTCAGTCTGTCCCCCAGAGGCTCATGTGTTGAGAGCTTGGTTCCATTTGGACCATGTGGGACCTTTGAGGGGTGGAGCCTAGTGGGAGCATCGAGGCCACCATAGCTCTCACAGAGCTGGTTAGTTCTCAAAAGATGGTTCATGTGAAAAAGCATGACAGGATCTCATCAGTCCCTCTGACGTCCTGTCTCACACACACGCACGCCATGGTGGCATTTGCCATGAGATGACAAAGCCTGGGGTAGGGGAGTTGCCAGCACTAGCACTATGCTATTGGGATTTTCATCCTTTAAAATGGTAAGCTAAAGAAATCTCTTCCTATTTTAAGAACACACACATCCCTTCTTGGCAGCTCTGGTGACCCAACCCAGAAACCTCCAGCAGGCGAGGAGTGCTCTCTGTGGCGCTGCACCCCACCCTCATCTTTCCATGTTACCCCACCTCAGGTATTCTGTCACAGTGGAAACAGTCGAGGCCACTGTCTCTACTCCAGTCATCAGGCCTCTACCCGAGAGGTCAAGATAACACGATCAGCAAGGAACACTTGGAAATGGAGTGGCCACTGTTCCCCTGGGGAGGACCCTGTTGTGTCCCTTCCTTCTTCAAGATTCTCTGCCACTGACCATGCTTAGCGGGCCTCACCCCAGCTACACAGAGCTGTCTTGTCGGTTGTCACACCCTTCTTCACACAGCCCATATCCAATGACCCATGTGGAAGTAGAAAGGACTGGCCATTGTCACCCAACAGACAACTCCAACAGGCCATCTAGCTCCCGGTGACCATGAGGTCGTGGAAGGACCTGCATCAGCTCAGCGTCTTCCTCCCTCCTGTCTGCTTTCTTCCCTGACTGTGTCCAACACTGGTCCCGGTGACATCTCCCTAATCAACATCCTGCTCAAGGCCTCTGAATCACAGTCGCTTTCTGTGGCACCCACTCCGCACCGCAGGCTCCACAATCCCAGCAGAGCCACAGGCAGCCCTTGCCCTTCCAGTGGCTGTGGGTTCTGGGACTTCCACACACGCCTGGATGAGCAAATCCTCCAGTCTTGATGTGTCAATAAAGAAATCTCGAATCCTCCCCACCTTTTAACAAAGACAGGCCTTCAAGACCATTGTCTAGCTATAGACTCAGATACTGGCTCACAGAAGCCAGCAAAGCTGACCCACAGCCCCTCTGCTCTGGGTGCTCCCCTGCCAATCCCTTCTAAGGCTCCAGCCTTGTAGCACATAGTTGGAAAGCTGCAAGTGCATATGATTTAAGGGGGAAATAAAAACTCAGATTTAGTAGCTCCAAAATGTAATCCCTATCACATACACAGTGTCAGTGGCAGGTTGTTGGGTAGGACTGCTATTTTGGGCTTCTGTGACTGGTGACATGCTGTCATCCCAGCCCCACTATTTGCACCAAAGCTCAACAAATTCCAGCTGCCTTGAGAGCAGGAGGCCAGGACAGGATATCTTGTACTTATATTCTTATTTCATTTTGCTCTTGAGGCCCCAGGGCCAAGTGAGGATGAGATAGAAGTGAGCCCCAGAAGTGACAGGATACTACTGCTACTGCTGGCACCAAAAGAGATTGAAGAAACCCTTTAGCAAAGGGCCAAGGTCCAAGCATACCTTGGTGGCCTGCTCTAAAGAGAACAGATCTCTGTTTCACAGATGGAGCCATTTCACTGGGGAGCCATTTCTGTGAGGGCCAGAGTTCCAGGAACTCCCAAGCACACACTCCCACAGGAGAAATAGGAACCCCAGAAGCATCAAGTCCCCAGGACAAGGACTGAATCCCCCAGACGCAGCACCTGATCAGCACAGCAAGGGCATCAACAATGGGTATGACTTCCACATTGATTGTTCATGAACTGATCCAGAAATTTGCAATCAGAACAGTCTAGAAAGAAGCTTCCATTTTCAGCATATGCTTAAGCTTTGGGATGTATGGCTCTGTGTTTTTATTTTGAATTCTAGGGGTGGTGTGGGGGATGAGGTGTCACTTTGTAGGCCCAACCCCCTCTAACCTGCAATTTACAATAGCCGCCCTGGTATGCGAGAAGGAGGTAGAACGGGAATGCCCGTTCTCAGTGAGCCCTCACCCTCTGGAATCCATACTGTGAGCTGGCTTTGTTTTGCAGAAGTCTTGAGGAAGTGGCTGGCCACCCTTTGTGACACTAACAGCAGACAAATTAACAACATTCTTGAGCTAATGAATTTCTTCCTGG